GCCGCCCGGATTCCAGACCGCCAAGTCCAAGCTGGCAGACGAGCTGCGCAAGGGGGGGCACGCCGCCGAGGCCGCGGCGCTGGAGGAAAGGGACGTCGCCGGTCTGAAGGTCAACGGCCTGCGGCGCGGCGGCGGGCAGGGCGCGGCCGGGACGGGCACCGGCTCCAAGTTCCTGCCCCCATACCTGAAGAAGGCGCTGCAGAGCACGGGGGGTGGCGGGGGCGGCGGGGAGGAGACGGAGGGGGTGCTGAGTCAGCGTACAATGACCCTCCTGCGTCTGAGTGAGTCGGGGTTTCAGGGGAGGGGGGAGGGGCTGGGGTTCGCGGGCTTTGGCTGTCTGTTGGTCAGGTTTCGGACGTAGGGGCTGGAATGCGCTGCGAATGCCCGTGCTTGGGGAGATGAAGGGTGTTCGGGGTGAACGCAACCCGGGAAATACGTTCCAAACAGGGAGCCCAGTTGCACCGGATCCATATGCATGCGAGGCTCAGATAGTGTGCGTCGTGTCGCGAACTCAGCCGTGGCCACCCCGTGTCCACTTGCTGCCAGCCATGGTTTTCAATGCCCCCTCGCACGCTCACAGACCCCGGCGAGGCGCTGCCGGACGAGCTCGCCAAGCTGGACCTGCAGCTGGTGGAGGCCATCTGCCACGATGTGGTCGACAGCGGCGGCGGCGTCTCCTGGGATGACATCGCAGGTGTGGGGTCCGTGCAGGGTGAGGGTGCCCGCCCGGACCGTGCTGGCTGCCGCATGCAATGTGCCTGTGATCCTTCCGTGCAGGTCAGGAAGCTGCAAAGAAGCTGATCCAGGAGGTCATTGTGTGGCCCATGCTGAACCCTGCCATCTTCCAGGTACCAGGGTAGGGTGGGAATGCGGGGGGCCGGGGGGTTGTTGCATGCCCATCACCCTGGCAAGAGCTCCCCGCCCAAGCCCCCAAGCTCTGACCCCTCTCCTCGCCGCGGTGGCGCAGGGCGTGCGGGCGCCGCCGCGCGGCGTCCTGCTCTTTGGCCCCCCCGGCACGGGCAAGACACTGCTGGGACGGGCGGTGGCCTCCAACATCCAGGCCGCCTTTTTTCTCCATCTCAGCCTCCAGCCTCACCAGCAAGTGGATCGGGGAGGGCGAGAAGATGGTGAGGCGGGGGAGGGTCTGCTGCAGCGGAGTTCGATTGGGAGGATTGTGGCTTCATGAATGGCTTCCCGACCGACATGCTCCCTGGAGAGCATCCTCCGGTGGAACGCCTGCTTCGTGGTGTTTGTTTCGCTGGGGCCGGCCTGACACTCGTCCCATGACCCAGGGGCAAGCTGCCGTCGCCGATCATCGCACCCCTTCCTCCCTGCCCAGGTGCGGACCCTGTTCGCAGTGGCGGGGTGGCTGGCGCCCGCCGTCATCTTCATCGACGAGGTGGACTCCATCCTCAGCGCGCGCAAGGCGGAGGGTGCGTGGGAGCCGCCCTGTGCCGTGCTTTCTTGTGCCCGGTCCCAGCCTGTGGCCTTGTCCCTGGCTCCCCCACAGGGTGCTGGCGCGGTGCTTGCACTGGCAGGACTCTGCAGTGCCCTTCGACACAGTCTACCGAGATCTTACACCCAGGCATCCCCCCGCCCCGGCCTCAACCCCCCCCCCCTCCTTCCCCGCCTGCCTCTGCCGCAGGCGAGCACGAGGCGAGCCGGCGTCTGAAGACTGAGCTCCTGATCCAGATGGAGGGGTGCGACCCCAGTGCAGCTGCCCGCCGCGTCCTCCTCATAGGAGCCACCAATCGGCCAGAGGTCGACAGGGAAAAGGGGGGTTGCAGGCATGCTGGAAGGGGGGACGGCGGGAACATGCTCGCTGCTTGGAGCCCTTGTCACCCCAGTCAGGGTACGTGGGGTGCAGCAGCCGGCACGGCACGGTGGGCCTGGAGGCCGATCAGCGCCAAGCAACGATTCCCCTCCCCCCGCCCGACCAAAAACACAGGAGCTGGACGAGGCGGCGCGGCGGCGCATGCCCAAGCAGCTGTACATCCCGCTGCCCTGCGCCGAGGCGCGGCGCGCCATGGTCCAGCGCGCGCTGCGCGGCGTGCGCTCCCGGCTGGACCCCAGCGAGCTGGACCGCCTGGTGGCGCGCACCGCGGGCTACAGCGGGTCGGACATGCGGGGTCTGGTGGCCGAGGCTTGCGCCGGGCCGGTGCGCGAGGCGGTGGCCGCCGCGGCGGGGGCGGGCGCGCCGGGGTCGGGCGTGGCGGCGCTGAGGGAGGACGACCTGCGTCCGGTCAGCCTGCGCGACTTTCAGGTGCTGCCTGGACCGTGTGCTGGTGTGTATGCTCTTGGGCACGCCGGGACCTGGCCGTCGAGAGGGCGTGAGTGCATGGACTGGATGCGATTCGAGGGACGGGCGGCACTGGGTGAGGAGCGCTCCGGGACTGTCCGCGGCGCGGCCGGCCGTTACCGCGTGTCCATCCCTTCCGCCCCGCCCTGCCCCGATCCCAGGTGGCCGCCAGGAGCCAGCGGCCCAGCGTGCAGGCCAGCGAGGTGGAGCGGTACGAGCAGTACAACGCCCTGCACGGCGCCCGCCTGGCTGGGGGGGCCGCGGGGGCCGAGCCCGACGAGGAGGACTGGTGATCGGGCGGGTGCCGCTTCATTCTCAATGGACCCCGTCCCATCATGCTGCTGGTCGAGACATGCTGCAAATACCATTCCATGTACATGCTACACGGACCAGTGCCAAGTGCTCCGGCTGGCAGGCCGGGTACGGGTATCAGGTTCAGAGTGGCAGCCTTCATGGGGCCACGCCCCCCATGCATGCTACAGCTCCGGGGTCAAAAGGGATAGGTATGTGTACAATGGCTCGTCAGGCAGCATCCCCCAGGCCGGGCAGGTGCACGGGCCCGCGACTACTGGTGCTGCCGGGCGCCGAGCAGCGTGCGCAGGCGCTGACTCAGCACGCTCTGCTGCGCGTCGGCGCCCATCTCCCGCCCCGCGGCAAGCGCCAGGCTGTCGCGCAGCGGCGCCAGCCCCTCCCGCGCCGCGCCGACCAGGGGCGCCACCACGCCGCGCAAGCGCGGCGCCGCCTCCTCCGCGTTGCCGATCTCCAGGTGGCGCGCGGCGCCGACGGCCAGGGCCAGCGTGCCCCACAAAGCGAGCACGCTGCCCCAGAAGAAAGCGCGGCCGGGCGTGAACTCCGGGAGCAGGCGCAGGCCTGCCACCTGGGGAGACTCCAGCGCGGCGCGCTGGATCTTGGCATGCCGGATGACCTCGTAGTTGTTCAGGGGTTTGGGCGGCGTGGCGGCCATGCGCTTGCCGTCGGCCACGGAGAAGATGGAGGTGTTGTCGGAGGACCAGCGGGAGCGGCCAAAGGACACCTGGGTGCCCAGCTGGAAATGGGTCATGTGGGAGGCGCGCGGCGGGGGACGGCTCACGCCGGGCGTGTAGTCGAACACGTACTCCGACCGGCCCTTGACCAGTGTGGGCCCGGCCTCGTCGGCCATGCGCACGCGATCCAGCACCGACTGGTCCACCTTGCCCTGTGAGAGGGAAAGAGGTGGGGGTTGTTGAGTGGGTGGGTGAGCAATGGGTGGGGCAGGTGCCAGAGTGCAAGGGATGGTGCAACTCCTGGGCAGGGGCATCTTGTGCTCTGTCCATTGCCAGTCCACTTGCTTGTCATCACCTCAAGCCGGTACATCCAGTACATGCACACATCGCAACCATCCCTTCCCCCCTCTAACACACCTGCTCCACGAGGCGCTCCAGGTACCGGGTGATAGCCAGACGCTCCTCGCCGGCAAAGTACATGCCCTCTGCCGCACGCTGCCTCAGGGACAGACCGCTCATTATTGGGAACTAGGTTATTACTTCCAGGAAAACCACTGAGCAGTGCACAGGGTCGGGAGACTCGCTGCTCGACTCGGTGGAAGAGTGGTTGCAAATTTGTCACAAGGGAGGAAGTAGGGAGAACAGGGTCGACAAGGCGAGGTTCCGCCCTCGAGTGTATTGACGATTATAATTTATAATCAAAGTATGCTGTGATTGTTTGTAGCATCTCTCGAAGGGTCTGAGGGGATGGATCGTGGGCTGCGTCCGCGGGTGACTACAGCAGCAGCGCCTGCGCGCGCCAGCGATTGGGGCACGCGCCCGGTTTCCACCTCAGCAGGACCACCAGTTTATGATGGCATTTCTAACCCGTGGCAGTGTTGACTCATCCGCGGTCTCCGCTCAGCTGCTTCCGCGCCGACCCCTCGCCTCGTGTATAAGAACAAACTCCCCCGGTATCTCAAAACCATCCACTATCCAACATATACATTTTCACACCTTCATCAGAGTCCCAAGACACTTGCAGTCCTTTCAACCCTACTCATCCCCCGTCCTCACCACTCACCACCAACGGTAAGCTTTTGCACATTCAGTGTGTTGCTCACAGTCTTTTTGACCTTGACTAACGTTTTCTTGAGATTTTATGGTTTGTTTCCGCTGCTCATGACCCTTGCTCCCCAGTTCGCTTGGCTTACCCTACTCTCGATCCCCGCCTTCCTCGCAGACACCATGAACCAGTCCGTCTACGTTTCCCTGTCCCTCATCGGCCTGGTGGGCATCGTCGGCGCCGGTGTGGCGGTCGGCAGCGGGGTGGGCATGATGACCATGCAGCTCGCGGCCGCGGAGCAGCAGGAGCAGGCCAAGGCCGTGGCCCACACCCCTGTCGAGCGGAAAATCACCGTCTCCAAGGGCTTCGCCGCCTCCGCCGAGCAATAAGCTCTTCTGTTTCCCAAAGCCCTGAATAAGCGACGGGCTGCGTGTGCTATATTGTCACTGCAACCCCCCTAACCCTTTTTGACACGTTCACACCATGCCCTACCCGCACGTGTGAGTCTCCAGCTGTGGGGTCCCACTGGAGTGCCCTTCCTATATAGACATTGCTCAGCATGCTCCTAGAAACGAACAGCGCGGCACTGGTCTGATGTAATTTCAGTACACCCTTCCGAGGTTACGATGAGGTAGCAAGCAAATTTGGTATGAATAGAGTACTAAACCTAGGGATTTCTCAGGAATTCGGTGCAGTCAACCATGACCTGGGCTGCAAAACCAGATGGCCGAGCTGCATCCTCTGCAGTGCCCACACGCACTCCCCTCCCCGGGAAGAGCTGCGCCGTGTCTGCTGAGGACCGCTGCTTGCGGGCATAAACTTTGACCCCAGGATTGAGTGGTGGATGACTGAGTCCACCGATGGGCATGATCTCTGGGCTGGGCTGGACCTGCAACAGTGGATGAGAAGGTTATGAAGAAGGATAGTACCCAGCCTCACCACTGTGAAGGACGAGAGTGTGACATGAAATTCCCCATCCCATAACCACAGAGGCACTTGTCGTCGACCTCCAGGAAAATCTACCTCTGCACTGGAAGGTGAACCGCCCATGGGCAAACCTCGCACATCCCTGTGGAAAGAAAGGGTGAGTGGATATGGGCATTGAGTGTCGGGGTTCTGGAGCAGCCCAGGCGTCCAGGTCAGGCAATGCTGGTGCAGGAAACAGGTGCCTGTTCCACATTCCATGCGCGGCAGCCCATCCTTTACCCCAACTCGCCTGACAGGCGAGGTGACGGCACTCCCGCCTCGCCAGCGGCCCCCACTGGAAGGCCCCGCCTCCTCGCTGGAGTCGCTGACGGTGCTGGAGGAGCGCGCGGGCCGACTCGCCGGCGCCTTGGGCGTGAAGAAGGAGGCCGTCTCTATCCTGGGGAGCTTGACCGGGGGCCGGCCCAGGGCTGAGGCAGGCACAGCCTTCTGGCTCCCGGCGCCCTTTCCTCGGCCTTCCACATCCTGGCATGTGCAGTGGGCAGTAGAGGCTGGGCACTTGGGGCCTTGGCCTCGTTGGAAAGCATGCCGCAGGATGGCCAGGACATTCTGCACTGCCGCCCCATCAAACCAGCTGGCACTCCATGGAGAGGGCCACATGCCATGACACGCACCTGGCGCTCGCTGGCTGTCGGCAATGGCCTCCGCTGCTCCTGCGTTCCAGGGAATGCTTCGCTGGTCCCGGCATCCAGCTTCTCCTGCCGCAGCAGCTTCTGTATCCCAGCATGCTCCAGCCACTCTTCGGGGCCCATGTACTGCGGCAGTTTGAAGGGGCATCAAGAATCGCATTGGGGAGCAGGGGCACGGGGGAATGGGGAGTAGAAGGGAGCTGGAAGATGTCCTCCATCAAAAATTCATCACAGGCGCTCCACCCATGAGTGCCCCTCTCCTCCAATCGCTGCCCAGCACTGCACCCACCCACCTTCTCAACCTGTTCCAGCTCTGCGATCTGCTCCAGGGCTGCATGCGCGCTGCAGGCCCGGGGATCCACAGCCTTCCAGAGCGGGTGCGGGGATCCCAGCCCCAGGCACAAGTCATTTTGCTCCTTTGAGATGAGAGTGCGGCAGGGATGAGTCCGGGCTTGCATGGGCTCACACTTGCAGGGTGGCAGACCTAATTGCAGGCGCTTACAGTGTGCTCCCGGCAACACAATCTCCTATGAGGTGCGCTTGAAGGCCGCCACTGTAGCCTTTCAAAGCGGCCTTGATAGGGAAGAGATACCAGGACCCCTCCCCACCAGCTCACCACGATCAATTGGAGGATGAGCTTCTGGATGTGGAGCCGCAGTGCCCCAGCATTCTCCGGGCGGAACCAGTGCTCGGTCAGTCGGCCTTTGACGGGAGAGAAAGTGGGGAAGGGGGGGGGGGGGGACTGTTGTCTACACTTCTGGTGAGCCTGGTCACGTTCAGGATGGGAGCGCAGATGCCCTGCCCTAGTTTATTGGACATTCCCACTCACCAGGGTAGCAGGCAGGCGTGCCCTCGAATAGATCCCGGTTGGTCTTCTTGTACTCATATGCCACCTCATAGGCCTCCCTGGCATGTATATCTGCATGGGGTTGGGGGGGGATCACATCCAAGCGATGATGTGCTGTAAGACCTTTGGGCTCCCACCCTCCACCATGCAATGTTGCCTGGTGTGCTTGGCAAGCAGGTCAACAGCTGAGCTGTGAAGGTGGACAAGGGTCCCACAGGGTTTATGGTGTTGACACGCATGTGCCAACATTCCACCCATACCAGCAACCAAACCCCCAGCTTCCCTCGCCATGCACACTCACATGGCGGCAGGTACCTCGCAAAGTACTCGGCATAGGCACAGAGAAAAAGGCCGCAGTCGCAGAAATTGTCCTGCTTGACAACCTGCGCGTTGTGGCAGCGGGTGTGCAGGATGCTCCAGTGATCATAGACAGGCACTCTGCTGCCCAGGCCTCATCAACGACCTTCAGCGCATCTCACCAAGTGCAGGACATTCCCCTCGATGTTGTCTTAAATCCATCTGGGGAACCACATGCGAAGGTACCACCGCTTGCCCAGCCCCGCACCTTGATACGCTTGTGGGGGAACGTCGTGGCGTCAAATCTCCTGGAACCGTCGCCCCTTTCCTCCCCGCGGCTGTGAATCTGTGGATTTCACGGCAAGTACTTGTGGCTGGGCCCCTCCCCTCCATGCACAGCGGACTCGCGGCTGGGCACCCACCAACCGCAATCTCCACACAAGCATCCCTCACCCTTCCCACCCGGTTGGAGTACTCGGCCTCTAGGTAGGAGCGGATGCGATGCGCTGCCTCTGCACTCTTGTGGCCGTCTGCGAGATGAGGGGTTGGAGATGGGACACGTCCAGCCTGCACCACAGAATGGACCTGGGATACGACGCAGCATCTCAGTGGACCACAGACGAATGAACCCCATTCGACCTGCACGCCGCCGACCTGCCGGGTCGCTGGCATCTGGCATGATACTCCCTCTAGCAAGGGAATAATACTGTCAGGTTCCTAGTCCCCCACGCCAAGGCGAACGGTAATAATATCACCCCACCAGCATTGCCACCCACGTTGCATGGAGTCCAGGTGGAGGATGCAGGGGGTGGGGCCCGTGGCGGCATTGCTGAGGTAGGAACAGCCCGGGTGGCAGACTATCATCAGGCTCCAGTGCAGAGCATGGTGCACGGGGATGAAGAGGAAATCCTTCTCAAATACGTCCACGTCCTGTGGGAGCCGGGGCGGGCGGGGTGCCAAGGTGGGTGTGGAGGGGACTCTGGACAAGAGAATGTCGCCTTCACGGACTATCGGCCTTATGGCCCTACCGAACTCAAATGCATGAGGTCAGAGGCGCAATGTGCTGCCATGACTGACCCCACACTCGCAGGTCCAAAGCACGGGTCACCCAGCCAGATACAGGGATGCCAAACCCATCGCGCACCTTGGTCCATTTTTGAACTTTGTGGTAGTTGCGCAGGGCTTGGCACTCGGCGGCAGTGGCGCCTGGCTTCAGTCTCGTCCCTACTGGTATCTCACCTCCTGCACAGGGGCAGAGGATTGTGAGGCAACTGCTGCACCACAGCACCCTGCATGGCTGCTGGGAGCCACCCGGCAAGGCCGACACGGGCCACTCCGGCGGGGACGAAAGCTTGTGCCCGACCCTCGTCCCATCCTCACCCCTCTTCTCCCGCAGCTTGCTGTAGAAAAAGGTGCTGTAGAAGTAACAGCGGCTGAGCGTGGCAGAGCTCAGCCGATCCTGGACGTGCCTGTGGCAAGGGATGGAGGGTGCGGAAGTTGCTTGCGTACAGGCAGGGCTTGGGTCAATGACACTGGTACTCATGCAGGGGACTGATCAACCTGAAGGCAAGGAGTACCAGGCTCACAGATCTCAACTCAAACCCATCACCGGGTCACTCCAAAACAAAACATCTCTTACCCTTCCAGCACCGCCTCTGCTCACCTCAGATAGAAATCTATGATGGTGTCATTCAGGAAACTGCCGGGCTCCAGTCTCACCAAATCATTGGCCGTGACCTGCACAGACCCAGGACCTCCCTCTCGGGGATACACACACTGCAAGCCCTGTATTCACAAAGTCAGAGGGGTAACCTTGCATAATCGGAAGGAAACAAGCATTCTGGATACATGCCCTGTGTGCCTCGTCTTGCCATTCCTGTCACACGAGGCTGGTTTGCAACCCCCCAGGCTCCAACAACCAGGCACCATCTTACCGCCAGCTTCCGGGCGATGCCGCTCGTCTCGCACACCACCCCTGCCTCGGGGTTGCTGCTCAGGTCCACCGCCTGGGTTGGCGGGGCCCGGCGTGGCGAGGGTGTGCCCTCCTCATCAGACGAGTCCAGTCGGATTGGATTCTCCTGCATGGGCATCATCCGAGGGGAGAGCGGTGGGGTTGCCACCCATGAGAAGGCCTCAGAGCCAAGAGGGCATGGAGAACGTGTTGCACGAGCTCCGCCGCCATAGCCTTGGCATGTGTCGCATTCAAATGCAAGCATGCAGAGTCACTCCCCTGCTCCGCTGGACAGTGCAAGAGACTGTCATCCATGCACCTCTGTTCCATGTGAGTTCTTTCCTCCAGGGGGTGCCGACCCACGCTCCCGGACCCCACGCGAGTGACGACTCAGCAGCCGCGGCGCCTTGGCACGGGGCGCGGCTCTCGGTGACAACGCCGTGGCCGGACCCATGAACTTCGAGGGCGGCACGGGGGTGAGGCTCAGGCGTGGGGCCGTGCGGCGGCCCACGCCCTCGCTGGCGCGGGGAAGGAGGGAGGACGACACGCTGAAGATCTCCCGGTGCGCCTCCAGACAGCCGCCGCAGAGCGTCGCAGGTGCCTGGGTGGCACGCTCCTGCCAATCGGAGGATGAAAGGAGTTTGGAGGGAAGGAGGAAGGGATTGGTTGGTGCAGGGGAGAATGTGGCACATGGCTGTCCCTGGCCTCACAGCCACTCAGTCTTGCCAGTCTTTTGTGTACGTGGGTGACAAGCAACTCCGAATCCCCCGCCATTGACCTTTGACGCAGGCCCTCCACCCCAGCGCACCCTGCAGTCCCTGAGGTTTGCAACAGCGCTGCACAGCTGGCAGGCCCTAGGTGCGGCAGGCGAGGCGGTGGGGTGCCGGAGGCTGAGCAGACTCGAGGGTGGGAGCAGGGGTTGGGCCGAGGAGCCAGATGGGCGAGCACCATCTGCAGGGAAATTGATGGCGGCAGGATCTGTGCTCCTGTTCCTGGCAACAAGTAGCTGACCAACACACTCAAAGTCCTTCCCAATCCTGTTCAGGCAGTGTCAGCCGGGACCCCACACCTTCTTGCCGCGCAGATCTGACGAGGTCGGCGCCGCGTTTGCGGCTGCTGCTCACGCGCATGGACGCTGGGTCCTGGGATGTGGTGTGGATTGCAAGAGTATTGCTGGGCTGATGCCCTGAATAACAAGGACACTTCATCGACGCATCCTAGGATGTTCTGCATCCACGCACCTGCTGACTGGATGTGGCTGGGTGCAGCGCAGAACTGGTTCGGGCCGGGGTGCTCTCCAGCAAGACCTGAACCTGGATGATTGAGTGGAGAAGAGGGATTACGTGCCACAAGGCTCGCCTGTGACACACGTTTGGACGTGACAATACCAGTAAAAGCACAGAGACTTCAAACTCTTCTCGACAACTTGAACCACCTGGGCTTCTCTCTCGAGCTCCTCCCCCAGGGTTTGCTGCAGGGTCAGGAACTTCTGCAGCTTTTCGATGCGGGCTTCCATTTTGGAGACGTCCACCGTGCCCCGGCGCAAGTTCTCCAAGAGAGTCTGGTGTCGGGCAATGCACTCCGTAATGTGCCTACACGTCAAGCTCTGGGAGCCCAGGGTCCCTCTTAGGTCCCTCAAAAGCTCGTCATACTCTACCCGAGAGGTTTTAAGCTCAGGAGGTTCCGCTGGATCCGCCGTCGCCATCGCAAGGGGAGCGATGCCCTTCTCAAAAGGGTAGCATTCGGCTCACCGCCCGAGCACACCGAGGTCGGTGTTCTCGACAGGCGCCCTTCCCTGGAGGTGCCTTGACTAAGTCATAAGGATCATGGATCGGGCTCCACAAAATTTAGGCTCGCAAGGGTGCAGCACAACGGCATGCGGAGGTCGCTGGTGGTCAGCGAGGATCGAAACCTGTGCTGGGCGCGCACAGTTGGCGACGGGCGCCCAAAGTATCGAGAGCACCGCGTGCCGCGGATGCCGAGACCCACCAAGTACTTGCAATCGCTGTTGCGAGGATGTAGTTCCGACATCGCAAGTAGCCTTGTAGGATGTCTGGACTCGTCGGGCGTGTCGCTTTCATCACCGGCGGTGCCAAGGGTACGTAAACACAGAATTAGTTGCCTGGGTGCAATTCCGATACTCCCTGGGTCCGCCTCGCAAGCATATGTATTCACAATCAACCGTACGCAACATCTACTAGGCATTGGCCTGGCATGTGCCCAGGCCCTGGGGCGAGGGGGTGCCAGGGTTGTGATCGCGGACGTCTCGGCCGACGACCTAAAGAGCGCGGAGCGTGATCTGGGGGCCGAGGGCATCGAGTGTGCCAGCGCGGTCTGCGATGTCGGCGACAGGACCCAGGTGGAGGCCGCGGTGGACTTCACGGTGAAGACTTTCGGAAAGTTGGATGTCGCGGTGGCCAATGCCGGCATCGTGCGGGCGGCGGATTTCCTGGATCTCACAGATGCAGACTGGGATGCGGTCATCCGGGTCAACCTCACCGGCGTCTTCCTCGTGCGCCTGCCTCACGGGGGCCTGTTCTGCCTGCCGCTTCCAGGACATGTATCCGCGGGTGTCCATTGAGTGAGCAGCCGTCTTAAACCAAGGGCTGCAGCCCTGATCCTGCCGGCCCCATCGTCAGCAGACCTCTTTTCACCCCTCCTCCAACCACAGACCGGCCAGGTGGCCGCGCGGCAGATGAAGGCGCAGGGGCACGGCGGCTCTATCGTCAACATCTCCTCCGTCAACGGCGTCATGGCCATCCCCACCATCGCCAACTACAACGCCTCCAAGGGCGGCGTGAACAACCTCACGCGCGCCATGGCGCTGTCCCTGGCGCCCCACGCCATCCGCGTGAACGCAGTGGGTCCGGGGTCAATCATGACCGACGTGCTGCGACAGGTGGTGGCCGACAAGGCGGCCATGGCCAAGGTGCTGTCCCGTACGCCCATGCTCCGCGCCGGCGACCCCATTGAGATTGGAAACGTGGGCCCAGGGGGAGTGGGAGAGTGGGAGGGAGGGGCTCAAGGTGCTTGTGCTGTGGGAAGCGCTGGTCGATGGCGTCTGTCGCACGCGCTGACCTTTGGCCGCGTCTCCCTCTGGCGGTGTGTACCTGATTCAGGCGTCACAGATCATCCCAGATGTGCTCGGCCTCCCTCACCACACACTCCCCCACCCTTTCTCCTCGCCCAAACACCGCACAGGTGGTCAAGTTCTTCGCCAGCGACGACTCCAGCTACATCACGGGCCAGATCCTCTATGCCGACGGCGGGCGCATGGCACTCAACTACACGGTCCCCGTGCCAGAGGAGGCGCTGGAGGGCCTGTGATGTGCCTAGGCATGGATTGCAGAGGCTTGCCACACTCCGCAGTGATAATCACGCGTAATGGTGAAGGTCACTGCTTCAAATTGTGTCACAACCCCCTGCTTCACATCCTGGAGCAATCCCCCTCTGCTGTGTTGCTGGTCACCCAGTGTTACAACAACAACTGGCTGTTGTTCACACCGAGGTTCCCCACCAGGCTATCTGCCCATGTAAGACACCGAGGAGGGCAGGCAGGAGGGCGGGTCTCACTGAACCAACCCCCCCCCCTCTCCCGCCAACCCCATAAAAGATGTCTGGCCTGGGGATCAGAGCAGCAGATTGCCTTCCATCGGCCCCCGCCCGCCCTGCGGACCCAGCGCATCCAGCCCGGCCGGCAGGCTTCCGCTGGCCTGCGCTTTTGGCCCCCAGGGTCCCGCCCCAGACTGCGAGCTGGTGAAGGAGGAGTGGGCCGACGCGCCGGGCGCGAGGCCAGCGCTGCGAAGTGACGCTGCCGGCGCCGCGTCAAACAGGGCCAGGATGTCCTCGTGGGACGTCGTGCTGGCATGCTGCCGCCCCGGCCCCGCGGCTGGGCCTGGGGAGGACGCGGGGCGGCGCGGGGGCGAGGCCGTCATTGAAGTGCCGCCCGCAGGCAGCTCGGCGGCCACGGCGCCCCAGGTCCAGCTGTCCCCCCGCGAGTGGTGCCGGGCCTCCAGCGCGGCAAAGGGGTCTGCTGCGGCGCTCGACGAGGCGCCGGAGCCGGGGCGCGGCGCGGCGCCGTCGGCGCCGCCGGCGGGGAAAGCGGCGACAAAGGGGTCGCCGCCGTTTGCGCTGAAACCCTGGCTTGCCCTGCCCCGGGAAGCGGTGCTGGAGGCGCCTGCCCCCACCAGGCTCACGCTGCTGGTGCCGCTGTCGCTGCGCTGCGCGGGCGCGCAGGCACTGGGCGTGCGGGAGGAAAGAGCGGCAAAGGGGTCCTGTGCGGCGGACGGGGGCGGGGCGGGGGCCGCCTGGAAGCTGTCCCACACATCGTGCTCCAGAGGGCCGGCAGGGCCCGCGCCGGCGCCGCCGGCGGGCGCCGCCTCCGTGCCCCAGTCCAGGAGGTCGACCTGCGCTGCGGCAGGTGCGGGCGCTGCAGCGGCAGGTGCGCTGCTGGGCACCCGCTGCGCCAGCGCCGCTTGGTTCCGCGGGGGTGCCGGGGGGGCGGAGCGGGCGGGGGACAGGTACTGCGCCATGTACTGGGGGAAGGACATGGGTGGAAGCATTTGGGGCCAGATTCCCTATGAGCAGGGATCCAGAACGAGAGGGCTCTCCGGTGCAGCGGTTTAAAGTGGGGGATTGGGGCGCTTGCCGGTGCATTTTGTCCCCAACCCTCAGGAAATGCCATTTGATGGGTACTTATGGTGCATCAGGAACCACCATGAGGACGCCCCCCCCCCCCCTCCCACACATACATCCACACATACCGGGTGAGCGGCGAAGTTGTCGATGCTGGGTGGCTCGGAGGATTGCTGCAGCGCGTACCTCCTGTGCACATACTTGTCGGTGATGAAGGTCCGCAGCAGGCCCATGTCGCTGTCGGGGGGCCGGCTGCATGGATGGAAAGCAGGAGGGCGATCGAGCGGCTGGTGGGGGCGTGCGGGCTGCGCACACCAGGCGCAAAACAATGAATCAGCCAGTCTTGATCCTGAAGAGGTGTAGGTGAGGCTCATACAGGCACTACACCGACACAACCCTCTGCACGTGCCTGAAGCCTGACGGGAGGTTTGCTTCCCAGTACCCGGCCGCACGTGCGTTCCCCATGGCCTGGACAAAGGCGACCTGCTCTGGCAGCCATGTGTCCTGGGACGAAGCATTGATGGGGAGGGAAGGCCGTGGTCATGAGCCTTGCTGCCATCTGCGGCATCAGAGGCTCAAACAGCAACACAAGGCATGGAACTCCCTGGTTATCGGGGCACGCAACCTGACCCTTGTTCTCCTGCCCCGCCACCCGTGCTCACCAGATTGGTGGACCTCACTTTACTGTTGTGCACCCCTAGACTGCGATGTACACCTGGCAGTGGACGGATAGTGTGTAAGCTGAGATGGCGTATGGGTTGCCGTGGAGGGGGCGCCCACAATCAACCTGCCATACAGTGAAGCCACCCTGCCCTCGTCTATCCGCTCGTCACCTGAGCAGTTGAGGCAGACAAACACGCCCAGATTCACACTGGCCCATGTTGGTCCACGTGCATGGCAGTCTGCGCATCGGCGGTTCTCTTCCTGGCGCAGGAGGCCAGTGAGGATCCGCTTGTGCACGTCATTCTGCTGCGCTGAAACGCTGAGCTTCTGGTTCCGGAATGCCATTCCGAGCGAGAATGTTATCTAAACGAACAGGAACAGAGAAAAGATTCTCGAAAAAGACGGCAAAGAAGCCGTCAATAGCGGCTGGCGGAGATCAACCTCCTTGCTCTAACCTCCGGGTCGGAGGAGACTGCTGCTTGACCCGAGACCTGAGTGAGAACCTCAGGATCAAAGTCTACATTCGTGCCCGGTCAAGCAATAGGATGGCTGGACTGACGTGCTGTCCGACTTCCCAGCGCGCGTCAAAGGTCGATCGCCGGATCACGATCCCGAGGGTGTAAAGCACCCCTCTATTTCTGTGCATGGAAGGCAATGCGCCTTCATGACGGATCCAAGCTAGAGACCCTTCAGTGATTAAAGCATACTTGGGATCATGAAGCTTTTTATCGCCACTCCGGGATGCTTGCAGGCGCAGAGGGCCCCCACTCCTTGTTTCGGGTTTGCCTTACGATCGACTCCTCGACGTATTTTCCAGCATGGAGGGCAGCCCAGGCTCAGAGGCTTTGTGCGTGCCAGTGATGAGCAGAAGAGCGACTCGGAGCGAGCCACTGCCAATGGGGCCTCTGATGATGGGGATGCCCAGGGTGCAGACCAGGACACCAAGAAGCAGGATGGACCCCTGTATGCCGAAGATGACATCGATCGGGTGCGCCGGGGGAAGGGTTGGAACCTTATGTGTGTAGCCTATAAGTGCACTCAGACACACTCTAGTGAGTGCCTGTCATCCACAGTGGGCACCTGAAGATCCAACTGTGACACCACCCAACCCACCCATGCAGGTTCCCAAGGTGACTGTGAGTCCTGCCATGGCTGAGAGGATGAAGAAGGAGTACTACTCGCTCGGAGGCTCACCGAACCGGGTAGGTGAACGGTACTGGGGCTTAGGAAGTGGGCCAATGTGGTGATAGCGAGAAAGGCATCTTGGTAGGTGGCAGGCCTTGCAGCTCACCATTGTGCAAGCCACCCATTGCAGAAACTGGGCGCCAACTGGTTCCTCTGGATCTCGTTGGCAGTCGCTGGGCTGGCCATCCTGAGTGCTCTGACAGGAGCACTCCCACAGTATTGATGGGTTGGTGTAAGCTTGACAGAGTGATGCGAGACAGAGCCACGGATTGTTTTGGCTTTTATAAGTACAACTTGTTGCTGTTGTAATCCAAGGACAAACCCATACCCATAATGTGTGTGATTTACGTTCTCAGATTACGTCATTTCAAGACACGCAGGTTTTGGAACATTCTTGGCGAATGACAGGAGCGTTTACTTGTCACTATGAGAATTCTGTACGTCACGATCCTCGCCGCAGTCAGTGTATACCTCTTTGTATCCCTCCGGTCCCTGGGCAGCACACCAACTCCTCCCAAGATGGCGACCCCCGCCGAGTTTGTGAAGCAGACCATCTCGGAGACACGAGTGGTGGTTTTCAGCAAGACCTTCTGCCCATACTGCAAGAAGGGTGAGCTTGCCGGGGCATGGATCACCACTGAGAGGGTTGCAGTGTATTCTCAATGGTGGTGCCTCCGCGGGGACCACCCGGGCGACAGGGCTGCGCGCCTCACGCCTGATTGAGTAGCTTGCTTGCATACATGACTCCTCACTCAAATGAATTCCTCCCAAAACCACCTGCAGCCAAGGCTGCGCTGGCCAGCGTGGGGCTGAAGGGCGACGCTCTGAAGGTGATCGAGCTGGACACCCGGGAGGATGGCAACGCAATCCAGGACGCTCTCCTGGAGCTCACCGGTGGCCGCAGCGTGCCCCGCGTATTCATCGACGGCGACTTCTTCGGGGGTGGCGACGACACCGATGTGAGATGATGGGAGTGGTGGTCCTTCTCTGCCTCACACAGGCCCCTACTGGCCGTCTGTCCCACGCAGGCATTCCCACAGTCCCTGGGGCAGTAGCTGTGTACGCTGGCGTGTCCTCCACCACCTGTACACCTGCGGATTTCGATCCACTACTCACCCCTTCATCGCAGGCCGCCGCAAAGAGCGGGAAGCTGGCCGAGCTGCTCCGGTCCAAGGGCATCCTCTGATCAGCATTGCGGTGCGCTGTCCCAGTCGTGTGGCTTACAAGCAATTCACGTCCACGCCTGCCCTTTTTACATTCAGCTCCATGCCCCGGTTTTCCTGTAACACGCTGGACAGGCACACTTCGATGACCTCGAGCCACAGGGACTGGTTTCAGAGCGCAGGGGCGTCAGGGGGCGCGGCTGGCATTCTGCAGCAGTTCCCAGAAGGCCAGCGGGGTGACGGCATCCGCAGGCCGTGCCGGTCCGGCGGCCGCCGGCGGCGCCCTCGCGGCCTCGACAGGCACGGCCCCCCCCACGCCTCGGATGCCGCCCAGCAGCGAGGCGGACGGCATGGGCGGGCCGGGGGGCCCCGGCACGGTGCTCGGCGCGGATGCTGCAGGAACGCTGGCGAGCCCCGGCGCGGCACCGCCGCTTCCAGGCGCGGTCCCGTTTGCGCCCTCCAGCCTGGCCTCCAGCTGCGCGGCGGACAGCGGGGCCTCCCCCGCGGGGGCGGCGCCCGCGTCCTTCGCCTCGCGTCGGGCGGGCCTGAGCGGGGGCTGGGGCGCCCGCCTTGCGACCCCGGCCGCCGGAGTCGTGACACTCTGACCGGCAATCACGTCGCTGGTGCCTGCGTCGCCTGCAGTCGGGGCGCACGGCCCGGCCGCGGCGACGGCCAGCCCGGCAAACAGCTGCTGCAGGTTGCCGGCACGCGGCGTGCTCGATGCAGGGGCCGCCGCGGAGCCGTCGACCGCGTGCGCGCCGGCGTCGGCCAGCGGTGGGGCCGAGGCCGCCCCGGCGGCTGGCGCCACTCCCCCGGGCCCGCGCCCAGCGCCCGGCAGCGCGCCGCCCCGCCCGCGCCCCATGGCAAAGCCGCGGTCGGCGCCGCTGCCGGGGGCCAAAGGCTCGCGCGCCCTGGGCGCCCGCCTGCCCGCGCCTGGCTCGCCCGGCCCGCCGCTCCGCACGGGGGCCAGGCCAGCCCAGGGCGCCTCGCTGGCGGGCGGCGCGTTGTCAGCACGGCGCGGCGGCCCCCTGGCCGTCGCCGCCGCCGCGGCCTGGCGCTCATCCACAAAGGTGACCTGGCCCGGGCGTACGGCGGCGGCGGCGGCCGCGGCTGCCGCCGCCGTGCCCCAGCCCGGCTTGCCGCCGCGCACGCGCGAGAGGTTGAGGAGGTCGCGTGGAGGGCACAGGGCTCCCGCCTCGCCCGCGCACCGCCCGCCCAGGTCCGAGCCGCCGGCGAAGGGCCCGTCGAACACCACCTCCACCGCGGTGGGGAGGAGGGCGGTGACGCTGCCGCGCGCGCCAAAGGGCGGCACGCCCGTGCCCCCCAGCGCGACCACGCGGTGGCCCAGCTGGAAAGCACCGCCTGTGGTGGTTGGGGGTTTGGTTTTTTGGGGGGGGGCTTGATGAGTCAGCACATGCGGTGCAGTCGGGATCGGACCGCATGCACTACCCAAGAGCCGTTCGAGGCACCGCGGGGTGACACTCGCCCCTCACATCCATCCCCTCTCCCTCCAGCATCCCCCCGCCCTCATTCCAAGGCCTCCTCATCTGCCCGCATTCCACTCGCCTGCCTCGGCGTACACCACGTGGCCCTGGTCGCTGGGAGGGATGAGCATGTGTGGCTGCACGTTGGTCAGCTCCACCGCCGGCCCCGGGGGCCCGGGCGGGGGCAGCGCGCCCTGGAGCATGCGCACCGCCGCCTCCGGCGCGACGGCCGCGTCCTGCGACACCAGGGGCCGCCGGGCCATGGGCTGGCGCTTGAGCCAGGCGTGCAGGCCCTCCGCGGCGGCCAGGCGCTCCTCGGGCGTCTCGCCGGGGCAGACCCTGGAGGCGTCCAGCTCAAAGGCCTTGGCATCCTGCTCCACGGCGGCCCACAGCCAGGGGGCCTTGACCTTGTACGACTTCAGCAGCTTGATCAGCGCCTCGGAGTACTCCCAAGATCCTGGGGTGGTTGTGGGGCAAGGAGGGTGGGCGGGTGAGGATGTTTGGCGGATGGGTTCCCCCGGTCTGTGATGCCGAGGGAGGCTGGGGTGGCCAGAGACAAGAGGACCTCGTCTTTGCGATCCCATGTCCCACTCTGATCGCCACAAACATGGGCGCGAGTGTCCAGGTCGGCCCGACGTGCGGAGGCATCCCGCGTACATTCCCACCAGAGCACGCCAGGCTCCCCTGACATGAGCGCAGTGCAGTGGCTCGAGCCGGCCTCGACGCTGAACACATCTGCACCCTCCCCTGCCCAACGCCCCCTTCCCCGGCCCGCTCCTCACCTTTGGGCACGGGCGCCGGGGGCCCTTCCCCCACAGCCTGCGGCCGCGGCGGCGGCTGCTTGGGCGGCACAAACCTCACCGCATCCGGGACGCACAGGCCCAGCTTGGCATTCCGCACGCAGAGGCCGACGTCCAGCCGGTCCCTCCTGCTCTCCCCAATCACAAGGTACAGCGAGCCTGGCGGCGGGGGCGAGGCAAAGGGGGGGGGGGGGCAGTGGGCGGGGCAGCGGGCGG